GCTGGACCGGCTGCAGGTTCCGCGCCGCACGCAGCGAGCGATCAGCCCGGAGCGATCCGGCACGAAACACACCAATCCAAGTCACAACCAGCCGTACGGAGGCTGCGCTCGCCAGCGCCACCGGCACCGCACGCCCACAGGAGCGCAGGAAAGCGCGCGCGGCCGAGGGCACGATCGAGAACGCACGGACTAACACACCATTCTAGTTGCGGTATGATGACGTGGTGTACATTTATATTATATATATAGTAATAGGCGGTAAATGTCGCTGATATATAAAATATGGATTCTTGGTAATGTGTTTCATAGAGTCTCTAGGTCGGGCCATGTAGGGCAAATGACGGTGCGGAGCATATTAAACTGTGCCAGAAAATCGACTCACAGAGGACCCGATTCCAGAGACCGACTGCAACAGCGTCCGTTTGCGAACAGTATTCGTAACTGCTTCCGATTTTAATGACATTTTCATAAATGATAGTTAACCATGCGGAGAAGCTCGACGTGGGAGTCCAAAACTCTATCCAACATTTGCTTTGTTACTTTCTGGTGTTAACGATTAAACTATGCATTGTTTAATATTATGCTTAACTTGGGCCAATATCTATGTCAACCGAGCTTCTTCTTTTTTACCTATAATGCCGCTTATCGGTAAGTGACGCCTACGCGCAATGACGTAAGCACAAGAAATGATCACTCCGGAGTGAAGCTGATTGTGGCCGTTGTGCCGTGTCATGTGCGCTGACGCGCGTGGTCGTGGCGTGCGTGCGTGCGTGGCGTGCGTCGCGTGTGTGTGTGTGTGTGTGTCGCGCGCGTGTGCGTGCGCGAGCCGCGCGCGGTGCGGGTGCGTCGCGCGTCGCGGTGTGCTGTGTGTGTGTTTGTGTGTGTGGTCTGCGCGCGTGTGCGTGCGCGCCGCGCTGTGCGTGCCGTGCGTGGCGTGCGTGCGGTGCGAGTGTGTGTGCGTATGATGCGTGCGTGCGTGTTTGTGTGCGTGTGACGTGATGCGCGTGCGTGCGTGCGTGCGCTGCGTGTGTGTGTGAGTATGGTGCCTGTGTTAGTGCGTGCGTGCGACGTGCGGCGTCGCTGTGGTGGTGCTGTGTTCAGCGTGTGCGTGTGCGTGTGCGTGCACTGTGTGGAGCGTGTTGTGTGCGCGTGTGGCGCAGGTGGCAGCCGTGCCGCGCGTGCGCGGGTAGTGTGTTGGTGAGTGTGTGGTGTTGGTGTGCGTGTGTGTGTGTGTGTGTGTGTGTGGTGTGTGTGTGTGTGTGTTGTGTGTGTGTGTCGCGCTGCGTCTGGTGTAGTCTGGATGGATGGATGGATGGATGGATGGATGGATGGATGGATGGATGGATGGATGGATGGATGGATGGATGGATGGATGGATGGATGGAATGGAGAAATGTTCAGATTAATGCAGTCATATAATTAGTTAGTTAGTTCCGCCAAAAAAACAGAATGTAGCTGCCTTATATACGATATGCATCGTACGTCACAGCGGTCACTGGTATTGCTGCTGCTATATGTATTTTGGCTTCCTCACTCATTTGTCATTCCTCCGTTCGGCGAAGCGCTATGTTCTGTACGCTTGACAAGTATCTCGCTTCTTTTTGCTTATTCTGCGGGCATCTATTTGCTTTCCTATTATGATATGGTCGTATATGCTGTCGCTGCCTTACAGCAATCCAGCCAGCCTCAGCCTCTCTCTCTCTCTCGCTCTCTCCCCCTCTCTCTCTCTCTCTCTCTCTCGCTCTCTCCCCTTCTCCTTCTCCGCTCTCGCTCTCTCTCACTCTCTTCCTCTCCCTCTCCCCTCTCGCTCTCTCACATTCTCTCTCTCTCTCTCCCTCTCCCCTCTCGCTCTCTCCCCTTCTCCCTCTCCCCTCTCGCCCTCTCTCCCTCTCCCTCTCCCCTCTCGCTCTCTCACACTCTCTCTCTTTCCCTCTCCCCTCTCGCTCTCTCCCCCTCTCCTTCTCCCCTCTCGCTCTCTCCCACTCTCTCCCTCTCTCTCTCCCCTCTCGCTCTCTCACACTCTCTCTCTCTCACTCTCCCCTCTCGCTCTCTCACACTCTCTCCCGCTCCCTCTCCGCTCTCGCTTTCTCCCCCTCTCCCCTCTCGCTCTCTCACACTCTCTCTCTCTCACTCTCCCCTCTCGCTCTCTCACACTCTCTCCCGCTCCCTCTCCCCTCTCGCTTTCTCCCCCTCTCCCCTCTCGCTCTCTCACACTCTCTCTCTCTCTAGCTCACGCTCGCCTCCCCATCGCGTGTTTACCTAGCATTGCTAGCGTGATGGTCGCACCTCCCCGCGGTGTGTGTCATACTCGTGCTATAGCGTGTATGCAGCAGCAGCAGCAGCAGCAGCAGCAGCTAGTGTCGCGGTGCTAATCAGGCAGTCGCTCCGTGCGTGCCTGGGAGCTTCTCCTGCGAGGCATTGATGTGCAGCCAGCCAGGCAAGCGAGCGAGCGAGCAAGCGAGAGAGAGAGAGAGAGAGAGAGAGAGAGAGAGAGAGAGAGGGAGCAGCCAGCTGTATGCGCGATGACTGCGCGCGTGCGTGCGTGCGTGCGTTCTGGCGTTATGTCATTTGTGCGTGCGTGCGTGCGTGCGTGCGTGCATGCGTGCGTGCGTGCGTGCGTGCGTGCGTGCGTGCGTGCGTGCGTGCGTGCGGGCGGGCGGTTGTGCGTTCTGACGGTATGTCATTTGTGCGGGCGG